ACACTAGCACCATTATGGTACATTCCAAAGCATCCACAGGGTATATTCTCTCAATCTCTAGTGAGATCCTACTCTCCTTTCCTGTTTCCTCCCTTCCATCCCTGCTCCATCCATAGAATATCCATGGTCTGAAAGGAAGCCACAATTCCCTATCCCAGTTTCAAAACATTGTCCCCAAAAAACATCTGTCAGAGACAGATTGCCAGCCTAGATGGGGATACATGTATGTCCTTTAGTGATGCTAAGCAAACACAGAGTGAGGATGAATCAGGAGAGGTTTGGTGAAGCGGACAGGACTTCCTGACTATGGAATTGCTCAACTAGCTTGGGGGGTGGTCCCCTTTCTGGAAGATTCTGAAATTGAATAAAAACACAGCTGCCAAGAAAGGTAGAAAATCATCCTCCATGAAGAAGGAGAATGGGCTAAGAAAAGACTCACTAGGCCAGACAGGGAGCCTGGTGAAGACCCCGTAGGAGCCCCTTGATTATGCTATAGGAATACTTTTCCTCCAACAAGTCCCAGATTGAGAATCAACAAACACATGGCCCATAGTTCTCAAGTTCATACAGTCTCCAGGCCTGAAAAGATACAGAAATCACTAAAGTCTCCAAAGTTCCAGTCACACTGGCTTCGTGAAGCTCCCCAGTCTCTCAGTTCAAGTTCCTAGCTACCTACATGGCTTCGACTCACCCCACCCGTCTCCACCTACTTCCTCCAGACAGCCTCTCCTGGGAGAGCATATGGTACAGATGTAGCCCCGTGGCCTTGGGTCTCAGGTGCCATCTGTAGCTGCCAGTGGTAACATGATGCTAAGGGCCAAAATAAATGCCTCTTGCACACATTTCAGACTGCCAGCTGCACCATGAGTCAGGACAGAGTGTGTCCTCCACAGTGAGGTTTGGGAAAGGAATGCAGGTTTTGCCAGTGGTTAGTTAGCCCAAGGAACACACCGTGAACCTGTGGAATGCCCATGGCATCTGAAAAGGGAGGTCCCAAGAGCTTGGTCTCAGGAAGTCAGTGACAAAAGGTCACCGGAGTTTCCATTCTTCCCATAGGATCTTCTCTTCTCTGTGAGGTCCACAGGAGCATCTCGGTTTATTTGTATCTGAAGATATAACTAAGAACTGAAGGCAATGCCCCACCTAGGCCACACACCAGTGAGTGTAACAAAAGGTACAGCCCAACACAACATTGTAAAATTACTTAAACTATTATAAATTATTTTTGTGAGTTTTTAAGGATCTTTGTAAATGCTATCAGGTCAACAGGTTGAACAATCCAATTATGGGAGAGTGATGTAAAGTACATCACTAAGTACATAGCATATACATATGCTATGATGTCATTTCACTGAAGTTCTGTGCAGCACAGAGGAGGCCATTATGAAGCAGATGCCATGGGCTAGCTCCTACCATGGGGTGTGGAAGGGAGTAAGCTAGTTACCAGTGGGCTGTGTGTCCACAGATGAATACAATCATAGCACATCCTACTGTGTGAGCTGGGAAATGGGACAAGAGATGCCACACACATAACCGACCATATCGGAAGTAGTTACAGCAAGTGGGTAATTTCTTTCTCATTTTTCCTATGGTTTCCCTCTTTCCCTTTTCTTTTTTCTTCTGTTTCTCTATTTCCCTCTGATCCTCACCTTCTTTCTTCTTTTATACAGAGTCTCACTATGCAGTCCAGAATGGTAACAAACTTGTAACCCTCTGTCCTCCTGCCTCAGCCTCAGTGTCCCTGCTACACAATGGAGTGAGTGGACAAAGAACCTCATCTGGGATTGTCAATGTTCTTTTTTTGTTTTGTTTTGTTTTTGTCAAGCAAAAAGAAAGTAGTTTTTTGGTTTTTTTTGTTTGTTTGTTTGTTTGTTTTTGTTTTTTTGTTTTTTCAGAAAAACTAAGTTGAATTACATCGGGAAACTAACATTAAAGAATGAAATATTTGTTATAAAAGGCATGTAAATATATATATATCTAAACTAAATGTTTTAAAAAGATGATATACGTGTGTGTGTGTGTGTGTGTGTGTGTGTGTGTATACATACATATATACATTGATGGCTCTAACTTTTGGGTGAGAAGTAACTTTTCTTTTACTTATGGCAATATTTTCCTAAATTTGCTACAGAGACTGTCTATATTTAGAATTCACAGATAGATGATAGACAGGAGGCTGGATGAATAGGTGTGTATACACAGATGAGAGAATGCAAGAAATAAAGAGAAAGAATGAGAAATAAATAAAGGGAGAGAGAAATGGGAAAAGATGATTGATAGATACATAGATAGATAGATAGATAGATAGATAGATGGATGGATGGATGAATGGATAGATAGATAGATAGATTGATTGATTGATTGATTGATTGATATCTTGCTAGTTACTTTTTGCCAGCTAGACACAAACTAGAGTCACCTGGGAGGAGGAGACTTCAATTGAGGAATTTCCCGTGGGCATTTTCTTGATTAATGATTGATGTGGGATGGCCACGTTCACTGTGGGTGGTACCACCCCTGGGTAGGTGGTCCTGGGGTATATAAGAAAGCAAATTAAACAAGTCCTGGGGAGCAAGGCAATAAATAACACTCCTCCAAGGCCTCTGCTTCAGTTCCTGCCTCCAGGTCCCTGCGCTGATGGACTGTGATATGGAAGTATAAGCCAAATAAACACCCTCCATCCCCCAGTTGGTTTTGGTCAGTGTTCCATCACAGCAACGCAGAAGCAAATACAACAGGGTGTGTGTCTCCTTTTTCCTTTCTCCCTCCGCTTTTCACTGGGAAGAGAGCAGAAACACTATTCTAAAAGAAAGATGCATGCCCCATCTCCAACCTGTTTCTCCAGCCTACACTGGAGCAGATGCAGGTCAACCTCCTCAGCCATATGGACCTGAGGGGCACTTACCCAAAGGCCTTAGGAACATGGTTCCAAGGAAAATGGATGCCAAAGATAGGTGTCTTTCACTACCACTCAACCCAAGTAGAATTCTAGAACCTACTCTGTGTCTGGCAATGGAAGACACACAGTCTGGCTGAACTCATTGCTATGCAGTTGCTGTAGCTACCAGGGTTCATGAGAGAATAAGGACCTGCCACTTAGACACTGTATGAGGTATCCCTAGATGGGTAATGGTGTGAGGGTCTCCAGGGCAGGTGCTGGCATGGTTAAACATGGATAAATGGGAAAGGAGGATGTTTTCAGATAATAGCAGATATTCTTGCAGCAAGATGTCCCAGAGGTTGGGCGAAGATGAGTGAGAAATTTCTGGGAAGAAGATCATCGGCATGGGGGAACTAACATCAGGGCTGAGCAGGTAGTACAGGCCCAAAGCTTGTATAGTTATAGTTAACAAGAGATGAGGTAGGGGGCCGGTATCTCTTAAAGGAAAGAACACTTAAGTATCCCCCTTTCTATAACATATATGAAAACCATTTGTGAAATTAGAGACTTCCCTGGACATACACAAGTGAGAGATGGAATACGGGGCTTCCCAGCCACAAGGTGACTCTCCTTTGGTGCTCACTGTTTAAGGAAAAGGAACAGAGGTTTTTAAAGGCAAAGAGTGATATGGGGACATCAGCATTTCAGAAAAACAACTTGTCATCATGTGTTGTCTTCCCATAACCTATGACATCAATCACAAAGTGCCCTGGGTACCACCTGGGACTCACAGAGACCCTGTTTTCCAGGCTGTTCCACTGAGAGCTGAGTACTCTCCTGCCTGCTTCTTGCATCTCAAGGGCAGGGACAGTATACCCATACTGCGCTCTGCCATGATACATTTCCATTTGGCAGTGCCTAGGGGCATGTCTTGACCAGATACTGCCAGAGTCCAGAGCTCAGTGTAGCCAATGATACAACCTCGGTATAGCCCTGTGTACTGCCAAGTGTGGTGACAAGCCAGAGCAGCATGGCTCTCAGTGTCATCTCAGCCAAGCCCAACAGCTTCTTTCTTCTTCTTTGGACTGAGATGCTCATGGATGGAGGAGCCGTTGATATGTGTGACACATAAAACTGAACCAAGGAGGCTAAAAAAAGATGATTCTCCACAGGTTCAAGGCTAGTTAGGGGTCACATAGTGAGTTCCAGGTCAGTTTGAGCCACAATATAAGGCTGCATTTAAAAAACAAAAATCAAAACCAAAGATCAGCACTAAGCCACTAGCCACAAATGCTGCCGACATATGTGTCTAATGGGTGTTGAAGCCAATACCTTAGGAGGGTGATGAGCCTTCCTGACCTCAGTGTCCCTGGCTATGTAAGGGAGTTAGAATGACAAGCTCCACCTGGGGCTGTGAATGAACAACAGCTCCGAAACCCTACATGTATGAAGTGTTTTCAAATATGACTGTAGATTACAATCAACACAGAAGGATGCGCAGAGGCCCAGGTGGGATCTCTCAAGACCCAATGCTTGGCCCAGGGGTTTCTGGGAAGGTGCATGGCTAGCCACCTTTGGCTTGAACAAGTCACTTCTTTCCATGGAGAGAGGCCAGTAGGAGGCACCCTACACAGGGACTGAGCAATGCTGTTTTTTTTTTTTTTTTTTTTTTTTGCTGGGGATGTGACCTGGAGTGCCCCCCACTCCTGCTCTCAGCCTTTGATTCCAGGCTGTCCATCTGCCTCCCCGACAGCATGCTGTCCAGTCCAGAGGTCCACTGCACACCACTTTGAGAGGGCACAGTAGGCATCTGCCTATGCTCGGGCAGCCGGTCATTACTTCCATTCCACTGCACAGGAATGGAAAAACTGCTCATGGGGGCTTCAGTGGCCTTCCTTTTCCGGTGTCAACAAGAACAACATCGTTCCCAATGTGCAGAATTGGAATTTATCTTTTTGGCATGCCTCACAAAATTTCAAAAACCCAATACAGCAAAATCTCTTTAAATTAAAAAAAATATTGATGAAGAAAACAAACAATATTTCAGGTAGCACTGGGTATAATATCTATACCTAGCATGAAAACTGTTTTTTCAAAACTACTTCAAGTTATTGAATGATCAAGGTACAAAAACATTTATTTAAATTAAACATTTTTGACAAATCAATATTCATAACTGTTCCATGCATATGTAGTCTTCTTGAAAAAATAGAACAGAGTAGCTTAATGTCTGTGATACTGTTTTACGAGATTATTAATACACATCGTGACTGGGCACCAGTCAATCATATCATTAACCATTCACTATTTATCACCAAATGGTATATACAGTAATAACATAAAGATTAAGTATATCTTATAAGTGAATTTATAATACGACTTCTGGGAGGGGGGTCTGTCAACAATACAAAATATAAGACAGCAATAACAGCAGAAAATAAAAACACATTTCATAAAGATAATAATACACACGGGTTCAAGGACAGACAATAGTCTGCTAGCTCAGTGTTAGGTACGTTCCTTCAAAGGAGGCTTAGGGGATGGAAATGTCTGGGGTGGAATCAGAGCTCAGAAACATCTTTGGGTGTCACAGTGTGTTTGTTTGGGACAGCCAAAGGACGGTGGGACAGGGAACTGTTCTGGTCTATCTACTGAAAGAACAAGAACCATGTTCCCCTCATGGCCAGAGGGATCATGCCTGGGATTTCAAGCCAGGGGTCCTTTGAATCGGGGGACAGTTTGGAGTGGAGGGAGAGTAACAGAGAGGAGAAGGAAAACGTTCAGCAAAGGGTGAGGGGCAGCAGATAGCCGGAAGAGAGGCCTCCTTTGCATCTCTAGATACGGCCATGCTGCAGCTGTGCCAGAGAAATCAGCATGCCCGGATGCTGCTGCCTTGTGAACAGTGTTTTTAGGTTCCTAGCTCTTTGGGTCATTCAGTAGGGAAGTGGTGAGACACTGTTACAATTCAGAGGACTCTAAATCAGGCTACAAAGCCTGAGGGGGGGGGGAGGGTAGCCTGCATAAGGGCATCTCTCTCTGTAGTCTCCTGGAGTGTATGTAAACGAAAAATAATGTAGCTAACTTATATATTAAAACAAAGCAAAGCAAAACAAACAAACAAACAAAAAAGAAAACAAAGAAACAACAAAAAACTTCAAGTCTGGGTGTGGTGGCACTTGCCTTTAATCCCAGCATTTAGGTGGCAGAAGCAAGAAGCAGGCTTTGAGTTTGAGGCCAGCCTGGTCTACAAAGTGAATTCCAAGACAGCCAGGGCTACACAATGAACCCAGTCTCAGGAAAACAAACAAACAAACAAACAAACAAACAAAAACCTTTTGAATTCAATTTTGCTTTCAGTGATACAGCTGAGCATACTCATTAATTTCCCAAACTAGGGTACATGTTTCCTTTTTTAAAAAAATTACATTTAGTTTGTGTGTGTATGCATGTGAACATGCTCAAGCACACATATAATTCTGAGGCATATGTGCTATGGCATGCACACGGAGGTCAGAATACAACTTCAGGAGTCAGTTCTTTTCCTTCCACCGTGGAGGCTCCAGGGATAGAACTTAGGTTTTCAGGCTTGGCAGCAGGCACTTTTACCCACTGAGCCATCCAGAGCCATCTTGCCAACTGAGAATATTTCTCTCAATTGGAGGAGTTTCTTTGGAGCTCTAGGGTGGCTGTAGACCAGAGAACAGGAAAGCAAAAAACCTGGAAGCTTGGGGAATACACATGAAGTCCCCATGAGGCTGCCCATTGCTGGGGGTCACACTTTCCTTAGCTTTGAGAGGATCATAACTCAGGGCTTGGCTATCAAGTCAGCCTCCACTTTACAGGAGAGAACAGTTAAGGCTCGTCAAGCCAGAATGGGGTTTTGCCAGTTAGAGACTGAAGGACCCAGGGTCCCTTCTCACTGGGAGCACCACAGGTCAGGAGTGGCTACATCAAAAGCAGGAGCTCCAATGCATTGGGCTCCCTACCATCAGCCACACTGATGGGGAGACAGAATGGCCAGGAAGTCCTACCCACATAGCTCCTCAAGGCTGTGCTTCCAGGTGAAGCCAGTGAAACACATTTAAAGGGACAGAAGGGGCGCTAGATCCTGGCTTTAGACTGAAGGCTCTGGGACAGCCGTTCTGACCCCCTGCCACCAAGAGATGGTAATATTACAGTTTCTATTCTGCTCAGTGCTTCACTGGGCCAGGCTCCATGCTTCTGGCTCTAGGACACGCTGTAGCTGTTGTAGTATGTGGCTGTGGCATCAGCCAGGACGGAGATGAGGCTAGTCTCTGTGGGGCCTGTTGCAGTCCCCTGGGAGAGTGAGGCATGCCCATTGAGGGTCCCAGCCCCTGCAGCAGAGTCAGGGTGGCCAGGAGTGTTCAAATACTGATCAAATTCATTGCGATCCATGTCCCCCAGAAGTTCCACCTGGCTTAGTTGATCCAGTGTGTCGAAGCCAGGGTGCTCAGGAGGTGGAGAGAGCTGGCCCAAGTGGGCCTGGAGGTTGGGGTGAAGAGAGTGGTAGGTGGCAGGGGAGTAGTAGGCTGGAGATGGAGGACAGCCAGGAACAGAGGACATCATAGAAACCCCTGGGGATTGGCCAAGGGCCAAAGACCCTAGAGGGTGGCTGCAGTGGAGGGGACTGGGTGTGAACTCTGGTGAGTAAGGAGGCCCTGGTAGGTGGGGGAGGCGGTGGGGGTGGCCATGCTCCTCTTGACACGAGGATGAGAAGAAGGTCTGCTCCGGCTCCAGCGCATCCAGGGGCGACATCTCTGGGGGTGTGGGCAGCCCGTACGGATATGTGTCCACACTGCCAGGGGCACCAGCCGCACCTTCGTGGTAACAGCTGTGTAGTCCAGGCAGGGCAGCACCTGGGGAGTACTCACCCCTGTCCTCCTTCTCACCCAGTGCACCCCTGCCAATGCTGGTTTTCTCAGGCAGCGTGTTCTGGTCACGAGAGAGGGAGCTCAGGAGGAAGCCAGGGTCCACACGCTTGCAGAGGCGCTTGCCTTGTTTCTTTCTACGGGGCCGGTACTTGTAATTGGGGTAGTCCTGCATGTGTTGTAGGCGCAGCCGCTCTGCCTCATCCACATAGGGCCTCTTCTGTGACAGAGTCAGTGCCTTCCACGACTTTCCTGATCACACAAACCAGAGAAGGGCATGCTCAGACTCCAAAAGTCTGGTTCAGCCTTTGCACCTGTTCAGCCCCTTGCCTCTTAGCATCCCATGTGCAAACACCTCTGGCCCTCTATTCCACTCAAAGGAACCTTCTCATAGCCACAAAGGACACCATCTATTTCTACTCTCTTTTCCTCCCAGATCCCACACACAGTGAAGGGGCTGAACCCACCCTTCCTGTTTGCACTGCATAAAGTGAGCCTCACAGAGAAAGTTCTTGAAAATCGTCATCTCACCCCAAATCACCAGCTGGCCAATCATTCCAAACTGTGAGAGTCCCACCTGACCCAATAATTAGCAACATAAAAACAAAAAACAAACAAAAAAAAATCTCAGGACCATAATATTGACTGGGGTTCCTTCTATCCTTGAAGGGACAGTTCTGTTCATTTGTGCATTTTAATGTAAGTTCCTTACTGCTAATAAAGTGATAGCATGCTGTTTACTAATGTGTAAATCCCATAGCCTTTATTGCAGTAGCCAAGCCCAGCCAATTACATCATCAAGAATTAGATTCAAGAATCTCATTAAGGCTCACAAATAACTATTCCTCACCTATGCAGGTCAAATAGGCCCTGCTATGTGAAGATATAGGTATGGCTTGAAGACTAACATTCATGCACAAACACAGGCACACTCACATACACATGCATGCTACCACTTTCTCCCATGGAATTAGGACCTTTTGACTACAGCGGGTAACTTGCCTAGCTAGCTACAGCTCTCCACAGAGACAAACTCCTTAACTTCCCTGGGTTTCTGTCTTCCTTTTCTATATAGCACATGCTGTTTCCAATGCAGACTTTCTCTTTTAGAGGCATCCTCTCCATGTAATCCCAATGGTGCTAAAATGCTGTTTGTGTTTGATTTTCTATTCCTCATTCCCTACCCGTCTGTTGCCTTGCAAGCCACTTTGGTATCCCTCTTCCATCTTTCAGTGAGCATTATGCTGTCCTGCTCCAGAGATTTCCAAGGATCACTTCTAGACTATTTAAACTGTTACCTCCCAAGGTGGGCATCTACAAATTTAGCACGCTCTCCCTTAACTTTAGTGTACCCTGAAGTTTCAGACCCTCTAGTCAAGAGGACAAGGCATCAGGGCATATAAGCTCTGAAAAGAAAGAGGCCATATCTTGCCACTGGGCACAATCCACGAGTGGCTAAGCATAGGGTCATGCATGCCCTGCCCTTGTCCCCACAGTCTTCTGCCTCTGCCCTCACCCCCACCGGCTGACTTCATGGGTCAGGATATCACAGGACAGTGGGGGCTCATAGACAGAAGTTATCACAAATTTGCCAGTTGTTGTAAGTAGCTGTCACTTAGAGTTACCTCTTGAAGACTGTTCCCAGCACCAGATGTTAAGATGACTCTGGTTCTTAGGTGGTGGCTGAGACCACAAAGCTCTCGCAAGACATCCAGGATGCAGACACACCCCACACTCTATCCATGGCCTGAATATAAAATGTGACTCTGGTATCCAAATGTACCCAAATGCTATATAGTATTAATAAAATACCATTTCCACTTTAAAACAAATCCTAACAAATATCTAATTTGTGATATACCTTCTCATTCATAATGCACTAGACAGTCTTCACTTAATGTATTCGTGATATACTAAAACATTTCACTTTCACCTGCACTAAAAATCCTCTACCTCGGTCTTAAGGTTAAAGTTTGGAAATCTTATAATAGCAAAAGTTGGGAGTCTCTTATCCAGGCCTTCTTTCCCTCTCATAGGTCAGAGAGGGAAGAAAGGATTTAGGAAGAAAGCCACAGGGGTGGTACGGCATTCCGCGTTAGCAGGCACAGAGTCTCTGTTTTAATAAGCAATGAATACCCTGTCAGGGTGAGCTTCTAGGTGTATGTGTGGGGGGCAGACTTTTCTGCAAAATAAACTGTGCCCTTTGGTATCCTAGAGCTTTATTCCAGATAGAATTAGCCCATAGGAAGATCTGTGTCCCACAAATTTGTGACTGTCCCTGTCTTCCTCCCCAAAACAGGCAGCCTAGATTCTTCTGCAGGCTCTCCACCCTTCTCTTCCCTCCCACCAGGGCCTGCAACAGAAACCTGGTCAAAAGTGGGAACATTCTGTCCTCAGCTGTGACTGGTCAACAGAGTGATGGGGGAAAATTAGGAATCCATAAAACTGAAAGGGTTTGCATTTCTTTTTTAAAAAAATCTCTTAAAGTCTCAAGAAAACAATGTAAGCTTTCAGATCAAAGAAAAATATTGCTGCAGATATTAGTCTAATTCTTGTTATACCAATAGAGTATAAAATATACAGGTTTATTATTTTGTATGAAGGAAGGGGCCTCCAAGGCAATGCCCACCAATACATACTAGGCACAGCTGGCCACAAGGCTGGACAAGAGGTGTTTGGAACCCCACAACTCTCACCAACTTCTTTTGCAGGCTCCAGACAGCCAGCGGGCTGAGCCCTCTCTCTAGGCCCAGGCCTTTTGCCAGCAGAGAGTCAGCCCTCTCTCTGTGACTCCAAAAGAGGAAAGAGCCCATGTTCCTACGGAAAAGGGCAGGACTTCAACCCAGCAGCGGGTGGGGTCCAGAGGCCTGCATGTCTCTCCTGGCCAGCCTGGTGCCCTCTGTAAACACAAAATGTTTTGAAGGGATTTCATTGGTTAAAATACATAAAAACTACATTGAAGAGTGAAGAGGTTTAAAGTAAGGTGAGGTTGAAAAATGTTTGGCTGCAAGATCAGTGAGGTGACCCAGTGGGTAAAAAGGCATTTGCCATCAAGCCTGGAGATATGAATGTTTGGTCCCTGAAACCCATATGGTGGGAAAAAAGAGCCTACTCTCCACCTGAAAATTGTCTTCTGATCTGCCCTCCGCAACACACACACTCACTGTGGCATACTCACACGCATACACACACACACACACACACACACACACACACACCGCTCCAGGTACTGGAGAGAAAAGAAAATCCTACAGAAACTCGGTTTTCTAAGAACGTTTTAGCATCTTCATCTCCAATTTTTCTGGCCTGTCTAGTTCCAGTCTGGATTACCTGCGGACAGCGCCATGGCTGTGGCTGCAAGCATGAAGCAATAGGGTCTACAGACCCTCCCTGGCTGCTTCAAGTATCTTTTAAAGTTATCTACACTTCTACGATAAATAGGTAAGTGAATCGAGTCTATTCTGGTGGATTTCTTTTGTTGCTGCTTTTTTTTTCTGTTAAGTAATTAAAAATGGGGATTCTTCTCAGTGAGGCCTCGATTGATGAATATTTGTTATCTTCTTATCCGTGACACACTCTCTGATTGTCCCAGTCATTCAACATGGGAAATAATGAAGTCTCCTGCCTCAGTCTTCCAATGTGGGTTCTACCCAGGCTGAGTCCCTGAGTCCGAGTTCCAGTCCTCAGGACCCGCTGCCGGGTCACGCCCGCCCCTGGGACCCCGGTTTCTGTTCCGCGTCTCCGAAAAGGGGCCAGTACGGTTTCACCATGGGCCGCTCAGGCCTGGGTGGGGTCCGTGCTGGAACGTCCCCCTCCCCCGCCCCCTGCAAACGGGGGTATCATCGTCGCGGTCCCCGCACCAGCTTCGCGCCGCGCGCACTTACCCAGCATCTTGCTGAGCTCCGCGTTGTGCAGGTCTGGGTTCTGCACCGCCAGGCGTTTCCTCTCGTCCTTGGCCCACACCATGAAGGCATTCATGGGCCGCCGGATCCGGCTCTCCGAACCCTTGTCCCCTGGAGGTCGGGGGACGGCGGGCGGCGACAGCCCATCCGACAGCTCGGCTTCCAGGGTAGGACACTCCAGCCCTTCGGTCCACGGGTAGGCTCCCAGTAGCGAGGCCATAGCTGAACGCGGGTCACTTGGCTACGCCTCGTGGGGCCGGCGCTGACCTGGCCCTTGCTCGGGTCGCGACGTCCAACTTGGCCCGAAGCCTCGTGCCGGGCCCTTATTTATCAGCTTCGGGCCACCAGGTCCTCCAATGACTCTCAGGGGCGGCGTGGCCCCTCCCGGCTGCCCCGCCGCGGCGTCCCCTCTGCGACCTGCCGGCAGGGGGAGGGAGGGGCTGGGCTTGTCCCGGTGCCCGCCCCTGTCCTCCCCTCCGCCTCCCGAGCCTGTCCGGATCAGCACTCGGGTGCAGGTGCTGCAGGGCCACAGGGAGCGTGCGCGCCACCCTCAGTCTCCCCCGCGTGGTGAGGGAGTCAGGTCCAGGCCCCTGTTCCGCGGCTCCTGCCGCCCTCCGACCTAAGGACCAGACTCTACCAAAACTCCAGCTTTCGCAGTGATAGCCATAGAGGAGAGACACTGACCATCAAAGTCCCTAGACCCGCCAAAGTGCTGTGTGGACAGGACACACCTATGGCTTCGGTCATCTCGCCCCAGACAACGTGGATGGCCACCAGGGATGGTCTTAGGCCGATGTGGAATCTACTCTGACGTCGGGTTCTGCGCAGTGCCCTTCCCAAACTCTGGTCTCTGGAGGGGCATCAGTCTTGATTTTCTGCCACCCAGTTTTCCTCTTCCTGTCTTCGCCCCATTCCATTCTGCCTGCCACCGCCTCCCCGCCGTCCCAGTCTGCAGTTTTCTTGCTAGTAGCTCTTTCGCGGAATTCTTTTATGGAATTTTCGCCCAATCCAGAGAAGTCGCTTTTACGCTCCTAGGTCTCGCAACGACTTTCTTGCAACCCAGGAGCCTCCTCGGTTTCCCTCATCCTGATACTCTAGGCTAAAAGGGCTATGGCCTGGGAACCCCTGATGCGTACTGTGGCTGTTTTTGCTGTTACACCAGCGGGTGCACACAGTAGGCACTTAAGAACTGCCGAATGAATGAATGAATGAATGAATGAATGAACGAACGAACGAGCGAACGAATGAGCCAATATAGCTTAGACACACCCCAAAGTAGAAATCACAGCAGGCGGGACTAGATCCCGGAATTAGACCCACAAACATTTATGGCACGCACCCCATGTGGAGCCTCTGCAGAGGCGACCTTCGAAAGAGGCAGTGTCTGAGAAGGTGGGGTTGGATGTAAGAGCCTACCTAGAGTTACTGAAGGCGTGGCAACAAGTCTGATATCTCCCAAGACCTTTTGTAATCCTAAAACTAGTCGATAAGACTGACCTCACAGGTGGTGATGAGGTAAATACAGTGAGCTCTGGCTGTGTAATCTTTGATGGAGATACCACTCTAGTCCTAAGTCCCAGTGCGCGATGACTGAATTCACAGATGGTTTCTCTTGCAACGTGCTAGCGGGCCAGAGCTGAGACAAGCAAGTGTCAAAGAACCACAACTTTACCTGGAAGGCAAACCCAATGTTACCTTCCAGTACCCCAGATAAAATTCATCAGGGTGTGTGTTTCGGCATAAAGCAGACTGGCATTTTCCATCTCCCCCAGCAGCAGCACTCCGAGGCCGGTGTCCCTTAAAGGGGGGGTCACCCTCACACTCCCACCCCTGCTACTGTGCAAAGCCAGAAATGCCAGCCAAGGGTGGTTTAACCAAGGGTGGCCAGAGGTGCAGGCAGCTGGGCCGCCAGGCACGTTCACCAAATTGGAAGGTTTGCTGAGAGTGTATACACCACGGAGGTGGAAATTCCTATGGGGCGAGGGGGGGGGGGGGGGAGGGGTGGCGCTAGGCCATTTGCGGTGTTGGGCCTCGCTACCAGGAAAGCTTCCAAAAGCATCTCCATGTCGAAATGATTCTCCTTGAGAGGGAGGGCTCTTCGAGGAAAGGGAACAAAGCGACAGTGGATCTCTGGAGTCCGCTATTTCTGACCATTTGTCAGCTCTAGGGCCAGAGAATTCTTATGCAGCTTCAGGGAGGCCAGCGCAGTGTACTCTTGTACTCTTGGGAACTCCCATTTGAGCTCACCATTAGTGGCCCTTGTGGCGAGTGCACCCAGGAGCCACACGAGGTACCAGGTTGTGAAGAGGCTGGGCTTGCAGGGCGCAGAGCCCCTAGGGAAGGCTACAGATACCTTGGCAAACCTGAGACCCAAAGAATACATGTAGGGAACTTTGCTTCCAAGTGCTTAGTTTCATATATTTCATCTGGTGATAATTTTGAGTCTGGAGTCAAGGGATGGCGCTCGCTCTGGAGCTCGTCGCTAGCCTGCTCCGGACCCGCAGCTTGGGAGCCATCTGCAGGCTGGAACCCGGGCTGGTTCACTCACTTCCATTACTTCATCCTTGTAGCACTGGTTCTTTTCTTCACCTGGGAACATTTCTGCGACCAGTGTATGTTGGGCCCGGGGAGGGGGCTGGGGGGGGGGAGACCGGGGAGGCGCCAAAGGACGCAGTGTTACTGTGACCCGGTAGCCTTGCAGAGTTCTGCTCAGTCTCAGAAAGTCTAAAGCCGCCTGAGCCACTGAGCTACAGCAGAAACCGACTGACCAGAGCACTCCCAGGCACCCGGATGCCTGCTCTCGCCAGTGCTGGCCCAGGACTGTGTTCATGTGTTCGTTCTGGGGCTGGTGACTCGGTGCCCCTGCAAGAGTTGTCAAGCACTAATCCTCTGCAGGGCCCCAGCAGCTGGTCAATGGGGGCATAAACACAGAGTGGCAAGGGGTCCCTGGCTCCTGCGGATTCAGGACAGCAGAGTCGCACATGCAAATATCTGAGAGGCAAAGGGGGACACTGGATCCTGCGTGTGGATCATGCAGCACATTTATCTACACAAAGTCGGGGCCAACTCACACAGGCTACCCATAATAACCCCTGTGTCTCGGCTGTCTCTTAAGTAACTTCGTTTTCACCCCCCCACCCGCTCTCTTTTCTCTCCCCCTACTTCCTCCCTCCCCCCTCAAATACACACCAATGAACTGTGAAACAACAGAAAAATGACAAGTAGGTAAAAATCTAAGGTGTTTTAAAATTCTCTCCTTATGGAGATTTTTCCATGGCTCTGGGGTGCGTGGTGCTACGGAGGAGGGGGAGGAGGGGGAGAGAGGCGAGGAGAAGGATTGGAGCTGGCTTGGAAGTTCCTGATTCACTAAGGCAGTGGCGGCAGCAGCAGCAGCAGCAGCAGCAGCAACTATGAGCAGCCACCAAGCATAGCCGTCTTCCGAGCAGTCCGCAGCATCTCCTTTGAACGCTGGCAGCTGCACTTGTAGCCACTTAGAGCAAATGTTTCTTGTTGCTGTTTGCCCTTCATCTAGGCTGGAGGTGGAAATTATTTGTTTACACGGATCATCTGATCCTGATTGACAATGTACAAGCTGGTTGCTATTGACTTGCTCCATTCTGCTTGTGTACCACCTCTGGGAAGTCCATTGTGAGCTTAGCACAGGGCCATTTCCCAGGTGAGGGCAGTCAGGTTGTACCTATGACTGCCTGGTGTCTTTTGTTCCCTGCTTCTCATATGCCCAGGGTTAGGGTATTTCACCAACCTCTGTGACTCACCCTTTTTACCCCTTCCCCTAAGCTCTCTAACTTCAGGCAGTTTTAGCATTTTTTTTTTCTCACAGTCACATCTAGAGGTCAATACTTATCCTGGACAATGAACTCAAATGGGCCTGGAGCAGCTGGCCCTAGAGCTAGCTCCGCCCTACCTACTCACTGTGCTCTCAGATCATCTCAAGTGACTTCTATTTTTCTTTCCCCTTCATCTTCCTTCCTTTCCTCTTCCTTTCCCCTTTCCCTCCTCCCTCCCCATACTTTCCCCCCTTCCCCTCAATGGGCTCCTCACCTATAATTGGTTCAGAGTTAGCAGCCCCTATCCCCCTATGCTTGCCCTAGAGAGTTCCTCTTTTTCAAGCCACGGAAATCTTTTCAAAGCCACCGAAGATACACCCATCAAGGTTCCTAGTTTATAATAACTTTTGAGCTGAAACTAACAGGTAGGACCTGAGATGACCCTGGAGGCCTAACTGAGCAGACTGGAGCAGGCAGAGCACAAAGACTCCTTTACAGAGTCTCACGGGTCACAGGGCCAAAGGTCCTCTGTATGGAAAGGAATTGTCCTCAGACTATTTTGCTCCTGGGTGTGAATAAAGTGGACCCTTGATACCTGTAGACTCTTCTGTAATAGTGGACCACACACCCTTGGTTCCTATGGCGCTCCCACCCACCCCCCAACATACCAGCTCCTATCACTTATCTGACTAATCTTGCCTCCCAGTAGATTCTGGGAGATGGCCCAGCAGGAGGAGTACTACCTAGACTCTAGAAGCCAAATCCAACTGAATATGGTTATGGAAATCTTATTAACTGACTAGTTGGTTGCACCAGGTTGAGGGGGCTCATGTGTAAGATGAAGGATCTCATGGACCCCTGAAATGAAGGCACTTGTTCTCTACACTTTCTAGGCAGCTCTAAGAGCATCGGCAGAGGCCCAGAGAGAAACAAGTCTTTTAGCTTTCCTTGCTTCCCTCCACTCTGAACAGTTAGTTTTCCCTGAAGGGAGCATGCTGCCACACTGCTGCTTGGAAATGCTGGACTTAATTGGTTACAACTAAACTCCTGGATTCTGATAAAGGAATTAACAAATCAGCCGGGTGTGGTGGCATATGCCTGTACTTCTAGCATTCCGAAGGCAGAGGCAGGAGGATCAAGAATTCAAGATCACCCCAAGTACCCAAGTGAGTTCAAGATTAGCCTGAACTGAACCGAGAGAGAGAGAGAGAGAGAGAGAGAGAGAGAGAGAGAGAGAGAGAGAGAGAGAGAGAGAGCAACTAATGGGTAGGTCAAGGAAATACATCCTTCATCCTGTCTTTTTCAAATGCCTAGAAAGAGTGAAAGTGAGTAAAAAACTGCACAGCAAAAACACAACATGGAAGATAAGTGTTTGCTCAGGTATACACATCTGAGTCCTTTGCAGGGAGCGTCAGGCTGACAATGACAGTGGTGGCAAGACAGCCTGATAGAGATCTCACCTCAGAGCTCAGTCACCAGCCAGCAATTCCAAAGCCAGAGAGCTGAGGACATTTCTTATCTGCTTAGCTTACGGGATTGCCTTAATGGGCAGACTCAAAATTACTATCATTTTCTGTTGTTTTTTTTTTTATTGAGGTACACCATATCTGCAGAAAAATGGGGTACCTAGGGGCTGTTTCACATGGTGACCACACCTTAGTGCTCA